CTGCCTGCTCTCCCGCTTCCGTCCGGAAGTACAGGGAATTGCTGACTCAAGCCCGCGCAAATATGCAAAAGGCTCAAGTCCGCATGCAGCAGCAAGCCAACAGGCGTCGCGTACCATGTCCCATCAGCGTCGGTGATCTGGTTTGGGTCTCCGAGGAAGAGTTTGCACTGGAACAGGATGTTTCACGCAAACTGCTTCCCAAGTGTTTTGGACCTTGGTCTGTGACAGCAGCCGCGGGCGATGAGCCCGATGGCCCTTCATTTGTGATCAACATTCCAGAGCATCTGACGGTCCATCCGGTCTTCCACGCCTCGAAGCTAGCAACATACACGCCAGCCAAGAGCGAAGACTTTCCGGGCCGACGATCGCACGACCCTCCCTCTATGGATGGTCATCAGGAAGTTGACCGCGTCATCTCCGATCGCAAGTACGGCAGCAAGCCGCAGCAGTACAAAGTCACATTCAAAGCATGCGATCGCGACGACACTCGGTGGATTTCAGGCGCAGATTTGAAAGCATCCGCACYGCTGATCTACGCGCATTATGAAAAGCGGAGGTTAGCTCAGGAAGCTTCACGACCAGCCCCTCCCACCAGGACTGTGGTCCCTCCCTCAGACAGACAGCTTCGCCCTCGCAGGTAAGCTCGGTTCTTCAAGGAGGGGGGGGTGTGGCATACTGCATAGCCACACGAGCCCTGCAGGGCCCATCCCGGACATTCAGCCTAAAAGCCTAAAACTTAGGGCTTACAGGCCCCTATCGTTTCAGCCTAAAAGCTGAAAACGAGGGCCTGCAGGCCCTACTCCGTTTCAGCCTATTTCTGGGTCTTTCAGACCCAGAGTTTTTCCAGCCTGAAACGGAGGGCCATTTTCAGGCCCTCATTGTTTCGACCTGCCCCTAAGACTCAGGCACGTAAACAGGGATGCGGAACAGGCCAGAAATAGCCTGTTCCTCACGAGCTCGAGCAGGAGCTGCAGCGGSAGCCCCTGACTCCGATCGGCATTGGCAAGAGCAGCCTCCTGGACTGCTCGCCTGCAGTCAGGAGGCACCCGTGGTAGTTCATAGGGACTTCCCAGGCACTTCACTGGTAGGTAGTTTTCAGTAGGCACGAGTAGTCTTCAGGATTCGGCCGCAGCACTCAGGAGGCGCGCTGCAGTAGTCTTCAGCGCTAGGCAGGAGTTAGCGCTAGCTGTAGTCTTCGGCGCTGGGCGCCCATAGCCATAGAGTAGTCTTCAGCGCTGGGCGCTGGTAGGTGGTAGATCGTAGAGTGGGAGAGATACTGGCGGAGGCCAGTGGTACTTACCTGTGGCGCCATCGCACCAGCTCCATCTTCGTGGTACCTGCATCAAGGCGCCAACTTCACAGGTTAGTATTGGACACAGAGAGAGAGAGAGAGAGAGAGAGAGAGTTCTTCTTCTTCCTCTTCTAAGTCCACCATCTCTTCTCACCCTCTCGCCACCTGACTTCTCAGACTACGACAGAGAGAGAAAGAGTTGTGACTTGAGACTTGACGACATTGGATCCAGACCGGACATTGGGATTCAGACATTTCGACGAGGGACTATTTGGGCCTGTACCGAGACTTGGTGTTGACGACATTCCCATCTTCCCCTCCTCTTTCGTCTAACCSCTCCTTCTTCGTCTGTGTATGGTTGGGGCTGGCGCAGTCTTCTTGTGTGAAGCGCCAGACCCCCTTCACACCAGATCACGATGATGGTGATGTGTGTTCAGGGCTGCATTGCAATATTGATTGTTCGGATCATTCGTATCTAAGTCTTCCGCTGTGTTATCTTGTACTTTGTATTGAGAGGTATCTCTTGTTCTGGTCTGCACGTTACAGTATGCAACAGTGTGTGTGTGTGTGTGTGTGTGTGTGTGTGTGTGTGTGTGTGTGTGTGTGTGTGTGTGTGTGTGTTTTAAATTTTCACCACAACAGCCCCTATTCCACGCAGATGAGTAGATCCAAAATCGAAGCAGCTTTAATCATGGTGCAGACAACGAAGGCGAAGGCCCTTGATTTGAGACAATCCAACAACGCCATTATAGAATTATTGCTCTATTTTAGTGTGCATTGAGCCTACCCTAGATGTTTGCTTGCTCTGTGTCAGTCTACTGCTTTTACCCTTCCCTACCCGCCCTTGCCACCTCCATTATATAATTGTTGCTCTATTTCAGTCTGCTGTGATCCTAGCAACTTTAAAGCACCAGTACACCACACATTGGCCCGTGGGCGTCAGCATGTGAAACCAGCACCACTTCGGAGGCGGCCGCTTCTTTTTTTCCACGCCCCCCCGCACGGTGCGGCCCCTTTGCTTGTGGCGACAAAAACTTTATTTCCGCAAGGCTGGGGCCGTGTACTAGCGGTTTAAGTCCCTTTCTTAATTGTGTTCACTTTTACTTTCTTAAAATTTCTTTGTGGTGCCCCTTTCATTTGTTCTTGCATCTCCCCTTTTACCGTGCCTCTCATGAACAAGGCTCGCCACGTTGATTGTGGTTGAGTGTGTTTGCTGAGCGCCCGCTTGTTCCGATTGCAGCATGATTGCTTGTGTGTGTGTGTGTGTGTGTGTGTGTGTGTGACCTGCCAGGGTACTTGTATGCCTGGAAGGTCCTCGGGCCTGTTACGTACCTGTGGCCGTGCCTTTGTGGGTTGCAGCGGGCTGTAGCGGCAGGCTAGACCTGTTAGGATGGAAAACAAGTAGCGGGTAGGCTAGGCCTGCATATGTCGGAAAACACTTGAGTAGCGGGTAGGTCGGCAGAAGAAACCAAACGATTTGTACCTTTAAAGGCCGACTGAATTTTAGAAGTCGGGTAGGCTAAGATCTAGGGGTACCAGTCCAGTAGTCTTGAGTCTGTGATGGATGTGAGACCTGCAATGATGTTTCCCTCCGAAAAGGAGGCAGGTACTGGTAGCTTGAGAGCCCGAGCAGCCTGGAAAGTCACCGCCCAAGGAGGCAGCTGCTCCGTATATCTCTGGGAGGAGCGAAGTGCTCCTCCTCATTTTGCAGTGTGCAAGTTTGGCGTCACGCTGCTGGAGCGACCGCTTGGCCAGTCCAGCGCTGGGGAGGAAAAAGGTGGCCTGGTCCTCCACCTCCAGCTATGGTGGAGCGCACCAGTGAGGATGAGGAGGAAGAAGGTGGGCTAGGAGGAGAGTTCATCTTCTTGGCTGGCGTTGCACCTGGAACGCCCGAGTGGGGGTGCGCTGTTTCAGGGAAGACTCCAGGGCAGAGTTAGGCATGGCGGCCATAGTAGAGGGGGCAGACCAGCTTTACATTGCCCTTTGAACATTGGGGCAAGACTCCACTAGAATGCCATTGCCACCTAGCGTAGAAGAGGAGGGAGAAGGTGTAGGTCATGGCTTTTGCGGACGTCATATGTTGCTGGCAGTAAGGAGGAGATGCGGACATTGGGTCTGGTTCATTCTTTCCTTGTTATTCTTACTATTTGTTGTATTGAAGAGGTTGGGGGAGATAAGGAGGTTGAAGGTGATGGGGAGTTGGAGGGGGATTTTACACTGGCCTTTGCTGGTGCACATCTTCTTCTTCGTCCTCTTCCATTCTTTTTTCTTCTTCTTCCTTTGTCTATTTCTCTTTCGGAGTTCTTTCATTTCACTTGCAACTAGATGACCTGTTGCAATTCGCTCGCAAAAACAAATATGATGGGGGACGCATTCATGGTGTAGGCAACTGACCAATGCAATCTCTCTCTCTCTCTCTCTCTCTCTCTCTCTCTCTCTCTCTCTCTCTCTCTCTCTCTCTCTCT